GACAGCTTAGTGTATGGTATCATCCAGCAGTATCCACAAGGTGTGTCCAGTTTAACTCCATTTCCTACTGTATGTTTTTTGGGTATTAGATTCTTGACTAGTTCGTTGACTAATGTAAAACAGTTTTCCTTAATAAGTAATTCACAAAAATTATTAGATTATAGGATGGTGGAATTTTCTGAAATAATCCCAATTGCTAAATTTTCGCTACGAACTAGCACTGAAAGCCAGAAAGTACTAGAGAGTTGTTTTGTCCTGTTTTGCTACTTTCCAGTAGTGCGTATCCACAGCATCCCCAGAGATCGAACTTGCAACCTTCAGGTCATGAGCAAAAGCAGATTAGCTATTCAAGAACTCAAGTCGGAATTCAAAGAGGGCTTGCTGAATGCATATATGAGAACAAAACTATATCACAAGTCAACAAGGTTAGAATTCAGGAGTCACTGTATTCCAGGTCAAGTGACTGAATTGCTAGAGAACTTGATCTCATAATCCAAAGGTCCCAGGTTCAATCCCTGGAGTTATCTTAAGTCACACTCTATCGTACGGTCCCAAAATAGGATAGAACAGTTGTCTAGTACTTCCACATGGTTTCCAATTATCCCTCTAACTGATCTTATTTCATGATGAAAATCTAACGACTGAAAAGATATTAGACCATTGTTCAGCTCATTCATTTTTGACTTTGCATCAGAAAACTGAAGTCCAGTTACTAAGATTTGTATTTGAACTGGCGATAATGGAACATCAGAATAACTGAATACGTATTTTTGCTGAACAAGTAGGGAAGATTGTTTCTCTGGTAATAGACTTTAAGCTTTACTTCAATTTCATTATGACATTTTCTGTTCTTTTTCTTGTAATCCTTTTGGAATAGTTCTAGAATGATGTTCATTCATCTTCTGATAACTTGTAGAGAATGTGTGAATTGTTCTGAGATATTCTGCTCCAGTTCATGTAGTCTTGATTGAATGGCACTGATGTGATTCAGACTTTGTAGTTAGGACATACATATATTTATCCAGACAATTCTGCCAGAGGAAAACCTTAGCATTCGCTTCAATCTTCTTCTATGAGATATCCGAAGACGAACGAAACTCACTGCGGAACTACTCCAATACAGTTACAAAGAAAAGGACAGATTATGTCATAGTGAAATTAAACTAAAGCCTAAAGTCTGTTACCAAAGCAACAGTTGTTTTTTCCTACTTGTTCACTTAGTAATTAACACATTGTGAGTAATTTTTAAGAAAATGTTTTTTAATATGAAAGACAATGATTCTTAATCAACTATCAAGAAGCCTATCTTCGTTTTCTATGCATAATTTAAATTTATCACCTCTTAAGTATGGATTAAACTTCATTAACTATGGTGATTAAATAGTTTTATCCTAAAACCATCTTTTACTCCTTCTTAATGGACTATATTCAAATAGGATAATACGAAGGGAGTTACCCAGTCATGTTTATAATGTATAATATATAAGGCTCCTTATTTTCATCTTAATGAAGAATTAAGTGAACTGAATTCATAAAGAAGACCCGTGATGAATGAATGAGCTTGTCTTGACCCCAATATTAAATCAAATACTAAATAAGTAATTGAATTATTAATAATAATAATTAATTTTATGCTGTGTATATATAACATTTTTCGAAATGAGTTCATTTTCACCCACTTATCCAACCCATTTGAATTGAAGTTGAATGAAATATTCCCATATTATGAATTAAAAATAACTCTGAATGAAGAATACTCATTTTACAATAAATTCTCTTCAACCTCTTGCAGTCATTAGATGAAATGGAAATATTATCACCAAAATAGATCAGCGTAAATTGTAAGTGTTCATATTGCTTGAAAAGTACATAAGTTGAAGGTGTGAACACAGGTTGATATCAGTTACAGAACTATTGGGTACTATAACTCACCCAGGGACTTCAAGTTTATGAGGTGAACTAGTTGACCACTTAGCCACTAGGTTGGCATTCAATGACCTAAGAATTCTAACTTCACCCAATTTGGGATGTATATAAACCATAACGGTTAATTAACGTCATGGGTGAGTAAATCATCTCCAAATAACTGGTTAGACCTCACCAGCAGTTAACACTACTCGCTAGAACTCCTGGTAACTTCCTGTATACAGTCAGTAACTGATGAACACCAAATTAATTATCAAGTATTGGTTTGTAGCGATTTGTTTGGCCACAGGTAAGTGCTCACAAGTTGATATCAATTAGAGAACCATTGGAAAGCTTGAGAAAAGAGAAAAGCTGTTTCGTCCCAGTTAAGGACCCTTCATCAGTACACATTATAAAACGTTGTTACTTAAACTTTTTGGATGGTGAGAAAAACAAGACAGAAAATTAGAAGGAAAAACGGGGTTAAAGAACTTGTGACAGGTGTTCAGATGCAGTAGGAACAACGTCTGAACGCATCCCTTTCAAATTCATCCGGCTTTAGAAATATCGTACACAGTCATAAACGTTATGTCGGCGTCATTGTGATACCTTTTGCCTATGAGGTGTGACAGAATTGAAGTTCTTAAGTAATCAATATAATCTCTTCTGAACAAAGTTGGTAATGGTTCTCAAGACAGGAGCCACTGAAATCCACAAGCGAATATTCCTATAGTGACAAGTATTTTATTTCATAACTGTAAAGACTTAGAGAGAATTTATTGAAAATATGAAAATCTTTCATTGAGATCAACTTTCATTTGGACTACCTAGCTAATAAAAGTTCGAACAGTAGTTTACAATACTACTTGAAAAAACATCAGAAGAATATCAACAACATTGAACAAAGCAAGAATGAGCCTATTTTCAAGGTAATATGAGCTTGATTTATTTCATGGAACCTCTTCAACCGTGTGAAACCTAAACAAAATCAGATTATAGGTTACAGAGTAGTTGAGCATACTGTTCTCACTGAAACTTAGAGGTAAAGACAAGAAGTACATTGGACATAATCCCCAAAATGATGTAAGTAGACAAATTATTCAGAATTTAAAAAAAGACTAACTGCTCATAGTATAATTGGACAAGAAGGGGGACGAGTAGAAATCAGATTACTTTTGGTAGCAAAGATTTCACGATCGATGAACAGAATGAATTTATGCATAGTATGATAGCTGGTTCAACGAGATAGGATTAATAGTCGTAAAGTAAAATTATGACATTGACAAACATTTGCATAAATTTGGAGACATAATATTGACTTCAACTAAGTAAGCGAAAATCAAACCGAAATTAAATGGAATGTTGCGCAATAGAATAAAACATAAAAAACAGACGAACAAAATAATCATGGTTGTCACGGTACTGAGAGACTAGTCACGCAGTGTATGTTTCTGTATACAGAGGTTGAGTAGAAGGCTCAGAGAGATGATCTTTTAAGGTTTTTGCAAAACTTTCATCCAGAACTATAACTATCCAAAGAGTTGTCCCAATAAGTATATCTTTAGTTCCAGCGGAAAGCAAAATTAATTAAACTGACGTAAAAATCTGAACTCACTAAAAGACTCGAATCATCTAACTCAGAATAAATACTTCGACGATCTGTCAGTTATGGTGCGAGACCTTAGGCCACCATTTCACTTCAATGACCACCTGGGTTGCTGTAATAAAATATGCCAAAGTCACTCAGTAATGAATCATTCTAAGCACTGAGGTATTCCTTTTTACAAGTTATATTTCACGGATGATCCAAACTGTACAAAATAATCACAACTGATAAATTACATAGACTTCGTAATGGTTTATTCATTAGAAGAGTTGAAGAAGAATTGTTGCTCGAAGTCTCAGTCTTTAGGCGAATGTCAGAAGACACAGATCAAGACTGCTAACAAACATTTTAGGACTATTCTTCATTTTCAAGCGAATTTGATTTAATAATAGATATTTAGATCCCAGTTGAAGATAAATAGTACATTTAGATAAAGTGAGAAGAATACGTAATTTGTCTGAATCGTGTGTAATGTGTATTTGCGCAACACATTTCGAACAATCTGATCACACACACACACACTTGTCATAGGAATATATGTATGAAATTAATAAAGAGTTAAGTGCTGACAGATAGCAATAGACTTCGATCAAGTTAAAAAGGAGAAACTGAAGGTCAAAATAATAATGAAGACAACTAAACCAAATAACAGAGGTAATAATACATCACTCTCCTGGCTGGTATGAAAACAAAGTTTACCAAAGAAGGTTTAGTGTGATACCGTATCGTTGCTTTGAACGTATATAGATGGTTTAAACTTCCTAATTGCCAGCTAGAGGTTTTGAAAACTTTAGGACACGCCTCAAGCTACATGACAGTATTTTAATTACCACAATTTCTGTCTTGTTCAGTGCATAAGAGATTTAGTTAAGTGTCTCTTAAGTAGAATCCGACGGATATGCACTAAAAACACACTTGATGAAGAAGAAATAAAGTTGATACAAACTCTGGTTGATAACGATTATCCAGACATGTTCATAAAGAGATATAAAGTGGTCAGAGCATCAAGACCCACTCTACAACTCTCCACTAAGGATGATGTATATATCGAGCTACCCTATACAGGGCATCATAGCAGCTTGATAACTAGACAAAGATTGAACGCTGTTGTTAGTAAGACTATTCATAGAGCTAATATCATATTAATTGAAAAAGGGAAGCCAATATATCTGTCGAAGCCCTTTGAATATGCAAAAAATGATGTCACATCTCATTGTATTTACCAATTTGAATGTATGTATGGACACACATACATAGGGAGGACTTATCGATCTCTGCAAGAAATACACATTTCACACGATTCAGACAAATTACGTCTTCTTATTGCTTTATCTAAATTCGTAAAGCGAACTAACTGTTTTATATGGTGCATTGTTGGCTAAACAAAAGCGAGCGATATCTTGGTTTTTTTGAATATCATCTTCACGGGGTATTTTTCATTGAGAATTCATTCATGTTTATCATTTAATTTGGTTTTCATTTTTTTTAGACCTGGACTTCGATGGGGTATACCTTTGGGGGTGATTGTAACAATTATTGTGTTTTTAACAGTTAGTTATACAATTCAAGTGTTTCGAGCATGTGATCGATGCTACCATGAATGTCCAATATTTACTCCAGTTCCAAGTAAGTTACTGTTGGCGTGGTTGTTGTTGTTGTTGAGTATTCAAAACTTTGTTTTGTTTAAAAGTCCACGGAAAATGTTGAGTCACAGAACACGGAATCATTGAAAATCGAACCAATTTAAATTGGCTGAAATTTGAGTGTACCCGAAAATGGCTAACTCACCTGTCCTGTTATTCAGTCAAGTGACTAGGGTAGGATATTTCAGCAGATCTAATTAGTATAAAGTGATATTAGTTCCTGGAAGATGTCGTTAAATGGACAGAATACCTAGTCTCTGCAGTACTATCTCATAAGTTCGTTTTGTGAACATTCATTTTAATTCAGTAATTTTCTGTGTTTAAGCTCATTCATGTCAGCTTAAATGCTCAAAATTAGGAGAAACACCCATTTGGTGTTCCCCAGTTTTCATTGGTTATCCAATCCCATTGTTTCTAGGGGGATTCGTTTTTCAATGAATCCCATAAATGATTGGTTGGAGGATTTTATCATGAGCTGAAATCAATTGGAGAACCATTGGAAAACCAGCTGGGAGTACCGGCCAGCTGTTTCGTCAGCCTAGTTTGGGACTCTTTATCATTACTCTCGTCTTGTAACCAGAAGGTCCTGGATTCCAGCCCAAATTGTGGGTGCGTAATGATAAAGGGTCCCAAACTGTGACGAAACACCTGGTCATACGTCCCAGCTAGTTTTCCAATGGTTCCCTAACTGATGTCCCTGAGAAGGATAGAAATCGATTTGTTATAAGTTCTACTGTATAGCTGATCAAGACTTTCTTGAGTGACGTGAAGTCACAAAACGTCTCAACCACAACAAAAAGTTAGTTACTTAAGGCAAAATCTATAATAATATTTAACAACAATAACATATTAGAAGGAGAAATTACCCCAACGATACTGTTAAACAGCTATACAGGTCATATAGGTTTTCAAGTGTAAAAACAAAGACCTGTAAGACTGAGTTAGTTAGCAGAAATTCAACCGTAAGAACTACCTGAGAGTCAGGTAGAATATCCTAAACACGCTGTGACCCAATCTCTGTTCACAAGTATCACACACAAAACAGTACTCATACACAGTCAAAGATCAGAATCAACTTGACTCATTCAAACTAAATCACATCATGAACAAAGAGAAGCATCAAAATTGAAAATCAAACGAGAACAAAGACGTATAATGAGGATCAATAAAGATCCAAATATTTATTGTGGTTAGATTTGTTCTGTTATAGGATTTCTCGAAAACTTAGTGAATGACTCTGGATGGCAAAATCTGGCTAGTTTGGAGTCTCTTGAGTCATTTTGCTAACTCTTCCTCCAACTTGCTGGCTTTCTTCTGTAAGTCTTCGAACTTATTATATTCTAATCTTCTGCAATCTTCTTGGCAGTGCAACAAATTGCTGTCTCCCCGCTCTTCACGGTCTGTCGCACAATTCACTCCACCACAATCAGAAGATGGTTGGAGGCCAGCGGCCACGGGAAGCCCAGCCTTGGAAACCATCTAGGTTTCGTGCTAGTTGGCACTCACCAGTCAGCAAGGCGTATCTGGAGCCTTGAAGGATGAATTGCGAATCCGAATATCTCCGGTCCCTCATGGTCTACTGCATAATTCAGAAGTATCACTGAGGATACTAAGAAGCAATTCTGTCTAACTCCTGTCTTAAATCAAAAGCCTGGTCACTGAGTTTTCCGCTGTGGGTCACCTGACACGTTGCATTGTCACAAGGCTGTTAAATTAGACTGTTAAATAAAGATTTTGGTGCACTGCACTTCATAGTGTTGAAGTACTTTTCAAATTACTTTATGGTCAGTGCTGTCGAAGGTCTTTTCAAAGTCGACGAAGTCGACTGTATGATCTTACCAAAATGAAATTAGATCCTACTACAGTACTCGAGTTCTACATATGTATAACAATATTACAATAAATTACAGAATTTATTTTTTTATGTAACAACAGAAGACAAGGGCCAGGCAACAGATCGTTTTATTTTGAAAATCAACACGTATTTACATATATTTCACATGCATTCTTGCAGCTTATGCAAGTAGACAAGCGCAGTCATCGATTGGTTGTTTATCAGAGGTTAGGCAGACAAACGCAGGCTTCGGATTGGTTGTTTAGGGATTCCTCGACAAATAGAGTTCTCTATCTGCGAATCATATTTTGCCACGTTAACTTTGCTGTGATTGGTTGTTGAATCAGCCTTGCTCATATTTTCCCACGGTCTGCTCTCACCACAATTTGCCTTCCAAAATGGACATGAAATTCTACTTTTTGTTATTAACTCATCTGACATCCGTAAAAATGAGTATATTTCATGAATAGTGAAATTTATGAACACATTATTGCATTCATACTGATTATCAGACATTTGAAGGTGAAGATTAAACCATGGCGTCAAAAAAGTAATCTACGCTATTTGTATATATAGAACTAATCAACAGATAATAAGAACAATTATAAATTTACTAAAGTATAGTAACATTTTACATCGTATAATAGTTATGGAAGAATATTTTTTTTATGCTTTTAAAAGTAAATTAACAATTTAAAAAGGTATTCTCTACTTTTCTCTCTACTTTTCACTTTAGATGGTGCTGAATTTCAATGGGATACACGTAAGTCTTGAATAACTAAAGGTTATTGTGTTGATTAGTCAGAATATTATTTCTCTTCTTGAAAAGGAATGCATTCATGATATATTGGGTGCATTTTAATTTCACTGAATAATGAACCGTGAGAGTGTTAACTAATAGGAAAAATCAATACCCAATTTTATTGTGCAAGGGGTATTGTCGAATGCTAAATAAATTCGTAAGGATTAGAAAACAGACTTTGATCAGGTTAAAAGAACATATTGAAGACCAACCCAAAGAAGGGAGGTAATATTACATCTTCCCTGATTGGTATCAAAACAAAGTTTACGATAGAAGGTTCAGTATGATGACGACCTATTGGTTTGAACGCATAAAGGTGGTTAAAACTTCTTAATTGTCAAGTAGGACTTCCAAAAAAACTTTAGGATACGCCCCAAACACGTTTTGTAGATAGGCTTGAAAAGATGTGTTGACCTCAATTTTATGTCCTGTCTCCATGATATATTTCGCAATAGAGCAGCTGAGTCACCTGTTTTCACCATTAATGTGTTCTGGGATTCTGCGTGCTTCTCAGGCCACTTAGGAATATGCTGTTAATTCCTTTCCTATATCCCTCTTGTCATTCCTTCTTTTGTGTCAGATTCATACTACTCATTGCTAGTAAGTAGCACAAACCGTATTTGTAAATTCTTAACCGTGTCTTTATTTACTACTACTATTTATCCCACTCTCTGTATTAATAATCCGTTATATGTTTAATAATCGTTTTCTTATAATCGAACATTATTTGCTATATATTGTTAAATGGAGTGTCTCGCATTCGCACTTTGTCTGAATAACACGTCGGATGCCTTTGACACAGTTCTGATGTTTTAATTTAGTAACTCACAGACACTCCACAACTGAGTACCGTATTTAAGACGAATCCTGTGTTTTCGGATTTTACGCGTCACTGTACGTGTAGTTTTAGTAATCGCTCGATTATCGTCCCGAATTTCTTCACATATCCTCTGAAGCCCTTACTTGAGGATATCGATGAGTCCTCCCTATCAATCTGTGGCCACACGTACATTCAAATTAGTAAATACGGTGAGGTGTGACATTATTTATCACATAATCTGAGGGCTTAGATGGATATATAGGCTTCACATTCTCAATTCTTTTGATCTTAGCTGTATACGAAGTCTTTTTAACCACAACCTTCAGTCTTTTCCCAGTTACAAGATACTATGATCACCCATATAGTGTGGCTTGATATACAAGTCATGCTTAGTGGTGAGTTGGAGAGTGGGTCTTGGTGTTCTGACCATTTTAAACCTCCTTATGAACATGTATGGATAATTATTATCAACCAGAGTTTATGCCAAATTCTTTCTTCTTCATCAAGTGTGTCTTCAGTGCATATCCGTTGGATTCTATTGAAGAAGCGCCTCAATAAGGCACTTTTGTACAGAACAGGGCAGAAATTAAGATACTGACCTGTTCAGGTAGGTTTCCTATGAATAGATCTTTTTATTGATCCATCACGCCATCAGCCATATTGTGATTCCTTTAGAATTTAGTCTTTTGCATGCTTTGAAGAAAACTCTGGTGTTGCGTTTATTGAGTACTCTTCTGATGTCATCCAGCATTCCTGATCTAAACGCAATGACGACTGCTGGGGTACGTTTTCGACTATCTTTAATGCTGGTGTTGTTTGATAATCAAGTTCTTTGGGTAGTTCTTTTTCCTGAGAATTCCAGTAATGTTTGATATTTTGTCTGCATTCTCCTTTCCATCTGTCACCAAAGAGTGTGCCCATCTAAGAATACTTGAGACAACTGATACCCTTGGACTGATTGGGTATGGTCATCCGAAGTTGAAATATTTGTTGGAGTGGGTTTTCTTCCTGAGTTCAGATATATAAAAATGTTCCTTTTTTTTCCTCTTATCTATGCAGTCTCAAGGAGGTAGCTCACCGAAATCTGATTCCGCTTCCGAAGCAAGCTGAATGCCGGGAGACAGATTGCTCAGATTCTCCAAGAATGAACTGTGGAGGTTTCGTTTTAGTGTGACGACAGTATCCTCAACGAATCTTAGTCATACTCTAGGTGTGAGCATGTTTGCGATGATGTTATCTTCAAATGCATTCATGAAAACATCAGTGACTATTGGGGGAACTGGTGAACCCATAACTATACGATTTGTCTGTTGGTTTAAATTTCCTTTAAATGCCAAGTAATTAGTTCCCTATAATAGAGGTTTTTTTTGTATTTCCCAATGAATATCATATACCCAATGCCCAAATTTTTTCAAACCGTTAAAAGTGAACTTGGTTTGGATATATATAATCTAATTAGTTCCCTGATAGATTCTTAAGATTGTAATTATCTCACTGGTGTCAAGAGAACACTTCTCTAATAAAGTTGTGTCTGATTCCAGTAAAGTGAAAATGATATCAAGACTTTAAGTAATGGGAATAATGTTGGTATATATCATGAGTTAATCCCATAACTTACCATAATATCTTCTTTCTCAGTTTCCCGGTGTTCTATCTTCAATATGAAATTATATGAATCATTAATAGCATTTCGAGTCTTTTTTGGAGTGGTTTGAGCATTAAGATAAGTATTTGGTGGGAGGTCGTAATTCGGTGAGTTTTCACCGGACTGTAGATTTTTGTATATCTTTGGTTGACCCTTTCCATCCACTTTTCTCTTCTTAGGCTGGTATACTGTATCACATGAAGGCAATCGTTATGGTGTAACATTTCACAGTCGACTATTCGCTAATGAATTTATGAAATGTTTAGAAGCGGAATATGGACGATGGAATACAGCCAACATACTGAAGATACAACGAGATGGACAAAATTTTGTAATACTGAATATATTTTTTCATGATCTTTTCACGCCATGGTTTTATACACAAGGACCTATTAAAAATGATGAAGAATGGATTCGAACAGATTTTAAAAATATTTGTCATACTGTTCAGGGTAAGTTTATCTATCATGAAATTTAACATGATATTTGTTCACAAAGTGTTACGTCATTAGATGGTTGGAGGCTGTAGGAAGAAAGCTTCCAACCTGGGTTTCATGCTAATCGGTACTCGTCAGTATGGAGCATCTGCAATCTTGACCGAACTCATGTCTCCTCTCAGATTCAAACCCATACTCTACTTCGATCTTTGGTGTAGACTAAATTGTACCAGCCAATTTTGCAATGTAGCCACCGTGCTAGCTGGCTCACTGTCGTGAAGCACCGTGATTCTGTCTGCATCAAGCAAAAGATTAGATGCATGGCTGTAGTTGCTATACGGATCAGAGACTTGGCGCGTCATAAACAGCATCTCCAACAAACTTCACACCTTCATTAACAGTTGTCTTCGCTCAATACCACTCAAGATCAGATGGCCGGCCAGAAAAGATCAGCAACAAGGATCTCTGGCAATGAGCGAACCAACTCAGCAGGAACCGATTGTGCAAGTAGTAGGCAGGAAGAAATGGAGATGGACTGGCTGGTCATACGCTGAGGAAACCATCAATTGACGTCACATGACAGGCCATTACCCTAGTGGAACCCGAAAGGGAAGCAACGAGTTGGTCGTCGGTGCAAGGGTGACTTGGAGGAGGTCATGTGAAGAGGAGATGAAAGCGTGTGGGCAGACTTGGAGAGGGGTGAAAAAGTTGGCAGAAAACCGAATGCAATAGAGACGTCCGGCTGAATCCCTATGTTCCTCTAGGAATTAAAAGAAATAATAATAAATGTAGTAAATAATTATTGTTCAATCAAAGTCCGTTACTATTGATATAAGTATAAAACTTGGACATTGTGGTAGAGTATAACTCCATTATACATAAGATTTTATTTTGATAAATCACACAGTGTTATACTGATGACATTTCGAGAACAAACTATTCCTCATAATCATCATATCAAGTCACTCACACACCCTTTTGCTTCATTTATATGCATGTGTGGATTGGATTTCAAATAAAAATATACATTCAGAAATAATTTTAATGTTACCAATTAAGTACAATCAGATGGGAAATAAAGTGTTTTGACAGTGAGAACGTTACGCGTCGGTGGCAGAGCGGTTAGGACGCTCGCCGACCGTACATATGGTCCGGGGTTCGAACCCAGGCCGGCGCACTCCTTTACCTCGCTAAACCAGGAATAAAGCTGGTAAACAGGAAAGGTTGGGTACGAGGCTAGCAACCCTATCCTGTAAAAATAAGCACTGCTACAGAAACTTCAAGCCTCCAGCTTGAAGCCCTATGCCCTGGGAACGTGAAGGAAAAATTGTTATTTATTTTATTTTTTACAGTAAAAATAAGTAACTTGTTAGAATGTTATAATGCATGTAAATTGAAATAGAATTTTAAGATTACTTATTATCCTCCTGTGATTTGACTAACTGGCGGTAATAATATCTTCCATACATTTCTCTGGTATTTGCATTGATTCATTTCTGTTGCATGTGTTGGGCGTAGGTAGACTCAGTGAATCAGGATTCAGTAATCAGTCTCTCTCTATCTCCACCTACCCATATTACGTTTTAGAATTGTCACTTTGTCCCGTCCTATTTTATGGTTGTATGTTAATGCATGCAGTGCAATCATTGAGCTTTTTTCTAAATTACTTATCTTCTCGGGGTCAACTATTCTTACCTCAGCTAAATTCTTATGTTCTGATAATCTGACTGCATAATCTTTTATTGATTTTTATTAAGATATCTGGTCAATTCCACACATGTGTATAAATGAAGGAAAAAAGTTGTGCGAGTAACTTATTTTGCCGCTAGTTGATTGTTCAACCTCTATTGAAATTTCGACTCCTCGTCCTGATACATCTATGGTGACTAGGGATTAACTTGAATTAATTTGGTGGATGGTAACTAAGAATAACGTCTTCAGTCTGAATAGTATTCATAAACTTTACAGAATTTTTAAATGAGTTTATTGCATGATATTTTCCCTTCGTACAATATGTTCAAGAAAAATATTAATTCATTGACATTATATCCTTCCTGTGACACGGTGATCTCTGAAATTCACGCTACCCGGTTGAAAGCAAATTGTAAGATGTTTGGAAGTACATTTTGAGACCCAGTTAAATAACTGAAGAGCAGATATCTCATGTATTGCAACACGTTGCCGCCCACAATCAGGTCTTTCCGCAAGCTTAGTAGGAACTTACGATTCAGAAGCTTGTAAACATTTTACACACACGAGTAAATAACACCATAAGAGATCATATGTGAATCGATTAAAACGAAGCGAACGAAAGAAAATATACGCAATAGAGAGATGGAAGTGTTTTGGTAGTCCGAGTTTTATGCACGGCAATCCAGGATATGAATTTCGTCCTACTCGATAACCATCATCTGGATTCACCTGCAGTCCCAAGTGAGTGGTAGTCTACCCACTAAGGCTGGAACCCAGTACCCATAATTTCAAACACCCAAAGCATTATCTACCAGACCACTTGTGTGGCAAGGGGTAACTCTATGCAGCAGGCATCAGTTATTATTTTTAAACTCTGATAGCCCAAGTCGTTTTGTGGATAACGCCTTAGCGTCTGAAAGGACGAGTACTATTGGGTACCATCTTCAGCGGGAAGACCATCACACTGAGGAATGCATCATTGCAGTCTGTTTTTTCTCCTAAAGTTAATCACTTTAATTATTATTATTGTTATTTATTTTCCTTTACAACAGCAAGGCTAGCAGTCAATCCTCGTTTCAAATGGAAATTGAATCAATTCTCTAATATCTCAAAGAATTACACATCACAAAAACAAACTCATCCACTGCAGTCAACTGCTAATACAACTTCAAATTTAATTCCAAATTCACAATCAGAAGATGGAAAAAGTACACATCACCATCATCAAATGAATACAACGACGACAAATACCACTAGTGCTACAGCCACACCATGGATTCCATGGACAAAAGTGGCTTACGTTCCATCACTGACAGAGACATCAGTTAGAAAACATTTGACTCGTGGAATGACTAAAAGTAAATATAAATCAAAGGGTGAGAATAAATCATCTCAGCTGGTGAATGTTATCATCCTAGAGGATATTATTGAATGTAATGGATTAGATAAGGGAGTACAAACTCATCAAAAACGATTACAAACACATAAAGCAAATATTGATCCTGTCATATAATTCAGACACACGGTTGTTTTGTAGTTGTAGTAGTACAATAGTGGTGGTGCGGCTAACAACACCATTCAAATAGAGGCGATCAAGGAGTTTGTTTGGTATACAGCTTTGTAATCATCATGAAGATATAATAACGTGCATTTAGCACCTGTTCTGAAATACAACACTCACGTCAAAAGATGATACAATACTATTTATAATAATAAGACTTTTGAAAGCTAGACAATTTACAAATTATGTATCTACAAATAATTAATTATTTTGTAATAAATGTGAAGAAATAATGAGAGACTTTGTCAATGTAAATACTTTTTCGTGGTACAATAAACTTTCTAAAAAAGATGATAGTGGCATTTAGTTCAACAGGAATACTGATTAGACATTACAGAAATTCACGCATATCACTTTGATTTTCCCTACACTGATGAATTAAGCTAACGAACTTTTGTCTTTTATCAGCAGGCTGTACAGACAAGACGATATTCTCAGCAATACAAGACTAGTTTGAAATTTAGGTGAAGTGATTAGTGGCAATATAGTCTAGCGTTTAGAATTCTCGCCTTTCGCCCAGGTAGCTTGGGTTTGAATCCCAGTGTGGAAGTGATTTTGTGCGTCTTTAGTGAGGCGGTAAAATATTCGCTAAATGACTCACTCCTGAACCTCTACTAACCAGAAGTATCCGCGGTAAAGAGAGAAGGCTGTGTGTGTGTGTGGCTAGCAACCCCACTTTTTTTTAAAATGACACAAAATACTTTAGGAACATCAAAGCTCAAGGTCGAAGGTCAATATTCCACTGGGAAAGCAAACGGAATAAAATTTAAAACTTTGTGATCATGTAGGAGTGAGGTTTTACTATAAAATCTCTCAGAGTATACCATCATGTTGTGTACGGTGGAAATGAGTTGCCTTTGACTTCCTTTCATGTCAGTTTGTCTTTTTAATTAGATGCGTCGGTGGCACAGTGGTTAGGACTCTCGCTGAGGTTCGAATCCCTGCCGACACACACCTGATATCTATCGTCGGCCTGCAAAATTTTGGCTACCGATATCCATGCTGAAAATTCCATACTTGTACTAAAAATACAGTGTGGAATCAAGCTGTCATCAAAAATAAAAAAACAAAATCAAAAAATAATTTCGAAAGGCCATTTAGGTAGGCTGATTTAATCTCGCAAAGGTTGTCTCTATAAATAAGTCGACTACTTTTACGAAACGGTCGATGGTCCAGTCTTCTTAGATCGAGGATATTAGTTAATCTATGTGTTCTCTACAATATGAAACGCTGACTTGGTTTTCTTCTAAATCTCAAATATTATTGATTTTATATCCTAAGCAGTTACGCAATATCTTACAGATGAAAAGGAGTCTGGGTGTTATTAGTTTGACGTATACAAAATGTGGCAGTAATTGCTGTCAAATTTAATGTTAGTTTGACTTTTGCAGGCCACGGTAACTCGAAAATACCTAGAACATGCTTAATCTCAACTGATGCTTTATGGTGTGTTGGTTTTTGATGTAACCGTCAACAATAACAGTGCTGGGATTTGGTTCGATACAAATATAAAATAGGCAACTTGAAGATGGAATTCGACTGTTCTCCCTCAAATACCTTGTGCTGCTCTGAGCCCACAGTAAAATCAGGAGGCAATGCCGGTCTGCATCGGTGAAAATAGCTACGGACATTAAAAAATTAATATATGCAGTACCAAAGAGGTTCGGCGTCGTAAGGTTACTCAATTAATTTGACAGAAACTTCTATTTCAGCAGCGAATGGTTTAGACAGGTTGAAGTCTCTTTTAACCTTCAAAATATAGTTATTTTCAGCCTTGGCGAAATTGAGGCAGTAACATCTACATTGTTAAAGGTACAAATATTCTTCGGACAAAATAAGTAACTGTTTTCCCTCGAGTCTACTTAGGACCATACGGCCTAGAATATTCCAATAATTATTCCTCTTATGACTGCGAAAACAGGTAAACAGGTCTTCCATAGAAAAAATTGATATAAAGTAAGGTTGTAAAAGCGCAACTATTTCCGTCGTTTTGCAGTGCCCGATGCTAGCCACAACAGTGCCTTGAATTCCTGAAGTGGTGATGAGGAGTCTGTCACTCCAACTTTGTTGTATATGTTTTTTGAAGCGATTTCTGAGTGCCATAATTCTTCACACCAGTCCAACCCCAACGAATCTAGGTTAGAACTATTTTCTTACCACATTTCGATAAACTGAGTCTCAGCGACACGACTGGCTTTGGATGGGACTTCCTTCACAGATACTGACTGTGATTTGACTAGTCTTTTCCAAGGCATGACGTTCCAGACTCATTTCAGACTGCGTGTTGATTTAAGACTTGCCGACTGTGAGTTGACGTTACATCTGTGTATTTACGTTCTTCAAGAAAACTGATGTGTTAGGAAGCTGTAATACTTATATCTCTGAGCATGGGAAATCAATGAGACTGCCTTCCGGAATTTTGTCAATTAGCCTTTTTGCAGTACCAGCCATTGTGCTGCGTGGTATGAGTCACCATAATTTGTTGCTTGGGAATGGAAATGAATTCACATACTGCCAAGCGCTGCAGTGTCACCATGCTGAAGGCGGTTTCTGCTGAAAATGATGGTGTGAGTTTGGGATCAACGTTGCTGCGTACACCGCATGTTCTTCTGCCGTATTCTGATCCCCACAGTGAACCAAAGTAGTATCATTGTGAATGTTGATTAGTCACTAACATTCTTCTCCAGGATCTTCCAACGTCAATTTTGGGTGTTCTTCCGGTTAACTGAAAAGGCGTACTCCAGTGTTGGCATACTTTGGAGACTGTACTCCACACATAAAGATTAGTATTTTGAACAGCGACTGTCAGCGACTTCAGCTTGAACTGTTCACACTGAGTAAAAATTGATTAGCGAACAAAGCCATGAATAAGAAGTAATAAATATATCATACTACTTACTACAGTGAAGTAGTATGCGATTGTTACAAAACAAATGGCATAGGAGATATGGGAAAGGAATTGACATTTACCTCTCCATTCACCCTCTTCGAGTATTATCTATAACTCAAATTATTTTCCCTATGAATGTTGTAACATACAAGTTGACGTTTCTCTTGACTTCATTTAAACTGTAACGGAATAATCGTTTGGACAATGTCTCATAAACTATCTAATTACGATATTGATGCCTACTTATGTTTGAAACAATTAGTTCCCTTCATGAATTTAGATAAAGCGATAAGAAGACAAGAAGAATCATGTTATGTAGTATTTGTGCAACACATGGATTTGTCGTGAGAATAGATATGTTCTTAATAAAGAGTTAGGAGGTGAGAAATAGAAATAGACTAAGTCAAATTTAAAGGATATTTTGAAGGTCAAAAAAATACAATGAAGATTACTGAACCAAAGAGGCGAGGTAATATTACTTCTCTGACCTGCTGATATCAAAACAAAGTTTACCAAGGAAGGTTTAGTGGGTTGACGAATTGTTGCTTTGAACGCATAATGGTGGCTTAAACTTCCTAATTGCCAGCTATGGTTTCACAAAGTTTAGGATACGCCCCAAACACGTTTTTTAGATAGGTTTAAAAGATGTGTTGACGTCAATTTTATGTCCTGTCTCCATAATATGTATCACAACAGAGGATCTAGGTATCCTGTCCCCACCATTAATGAGTTCTGAAGATTCTATTTGTTTCTAGAACCCTTAGAATATGAACGGAAGCCTTTAATTGCAGAGATCGATAAGTCCTCCCTATGTAGATGTGTCCACACGTACATTCAAATAGATAGATGCAGTGAAACTTGACATCACTTTTCGCATGTTCAAAGGGCTTAACAGATATAATGGCTTCACATTCCCATTTATTATGATATTAGCTGCATAAAAACGTCTTTTCAACAGTAGCGTTCAATCTTTGTCTAGTTTTCAAGCTGCCCTAGTGCCCCATATACTGTAGCTTGATGTACACATCTTTTTAGGGGGCGAGTTGTAGAGTGGGTCTTGGTGTTCTGACCACTTTATATCTCCTGATGAACTTGTCTGGATAATTGTATGAAAACAAGAGTTTGTGTCAAGTTTCTTTCTGCTTCATCAAGGATGTCTTCAGTACATATTCGTTGGATTCTGCTGAAGAGTCACCTTACTAAGTCTCTTTTGTATCGAACAGAGCCGAAAGGGTAATAATTAAGATACTGTCCTGTCCAGGTAGGTTTTCTATAAATAGATCGATTTATTGACCCATCAAGCTGTCAACTGAGCAGTATGTCTAGGAAAGATAAAAAATTATCTTCCTCTTCTACAGATGTGAGTGATATGCTATTCATTCGATTTAAAAATGACGGGGGGGGCGTATCCTAGACTTTGTGAAAGCCATAGCTGGCAATTAGAAAGTTTAAACCACCATTATGCGTTCAAAGCAACAATTCGTCAACCCACTAAACCTTCCTTGGTAAACTTTGTTTTGATATCAGGCAGGTCAGAGAAGCAATATTACCTCGCCTCTTTGCTTCAGTAATCTTCATTGTATTTTTTGACCTTCAAAATATCCTTTAAATTTGACTTAAGTCTATTTCTATTTCTCACCTCTTAACTCTTTATTAATTTCATATGTATATATATATATATATATATATATATTCTAATGACAGGTCCATGTGTGTGATTAGACTGTTCGACATGTGTTGCGCAAATTGAATGTCTGCTTGATATGTACACTGCAAGAGTCTTGGTGACAAAGATTCGACCCCACATTTTTGAGAATATTCCCCTTGAATATCAGATACTTCGTTTGGTAGGTTCTAATTGAATGATTTTGTTCTATATTGAGTGTTTTGTACTCGAGAAAGAATAGGATCTCTGTGGCTGCAATATGATTTCATTGTTGAGGGAGTTTTGACTGGTTGATGTGCTGTCATACTGAAATAGTACAGTAGATTTTACTGAGAATCAATAGCTGTTTGCCGTCGTTGGGGCATTTGATGACTGTGAATAACTCAAAGAAATTTC